CTTTATTCTCCTGAAACCTCCATCTCCCCTCTGAGCTTCTGGCATTTAATCAGGGGTGAGGCGTCCTGTGTGGTCCCAGGTGAGTGGAGAGCTGAGACAGTGAGGGCCCAGCCTGTAACATGGACTCTGAGCCGAGCCCATGACCGTGCTCATAGGAGGTGGGGGGTTTGACTCTAATTCCTCTGCCACTTCATCAACATCTATGCAGAACGTCGCAGTGCGCGGGCAGCATGAAATATTCAAAAGAGTTCTATTATTGAATTAACTATTTATCGATTTATAATTTAAAAGATGTATGCCCAGCTGTTAACAAAGATTCCAAACCGACTTTCGCTTCCCGGAAACGCCAAGCGCCACCGGCCCCCAGGGACATCTCTCTGCCGGCTCTCACCCTGGTGCAGAGTGCAGAGGCACTCGGGGTGACCTGGGGGACACAGGCGCACTACAGCCCCTGCTGCTCACTGATGCCAGCCCGCAGGGGTCCGCAGTGCCCCCAGCCCCATCCCACCGGCTTCCAGCTCTCCTAGGCTGGCTCCGCCGGGAGCAAGGACATCTCCGTCACTCTCCCTCAGTTCAGAGCAGGTGCAGAGCCGAGGTCTGAGCCAAGCTGACCACAGGGGCGGCATCTTGAGCCGCGCTGTGACTATGAGCTGGGTACAGCTTCTCCTTCAGGGCGCACTGTCCCCGATGAGGTGGGCTTTTTTTTCCCACTAGACTTTATTACTTAGAGCAGTTTTAGGCTCATTGCAAAATTGTGTGGAAGGCACAGAGTCCCCATGTGAGCACAGCCACCCCCATCAGCCACACACTGCCAGCACGCTGCACTTGCCACCGTGGCTGAGCCGGCATTTACACAGCCTCACCCCGTGCCCAGAGGTACCGCCGGGCTCGCCCTCTACCCTGTGCGTCCCGTGGGTGTGGACAGGCGTGTGATGGCGTGGATCCACCACTGTGGGGTCCTGCGGAGGGGCCCACGCCCTGGAGACCTCCCGTGCTCCACCTGTGCCTCCCTCCCTCCCTCCCTCCCCTGAGTCCCTGGCACCCTCTCATCTTTCGGCTGCCTCCGTAGTTCCGCCTTCTCCAGAATGCCCTTGAGCTGGAATCTCACGGCGTGCGGCGTTTTCAGACTGGCTCCTTTCACTGAGGAATATGCATTTTAGTTTCGAGGTAGGTCTTTTTACTGTGCCCGTTTTACAGACTGAGGCAAGAAAAGCAGCTCAGCGGAGGTCACACACCAGGCCCCTGGTGCGACAGGAATGGAAACCCTGCTCCTGATGCCCCTGCTGTCCAGAGGCCCCTGAGAGACGCTGGCGGGAACTGCACACAGGCGGCCCTGGGGACTGGGGACAAGGCCTGGCTGGACACAGCTCCGTCCCCGAGCAGCTGGGACTGGAGGCTGCAGCTCTCACAGCTGAGGTCTGACCCCTGATTCCATCTTGGCCGCACATCAAAGCACAAGTAGTAGTTAGCAAAGCTGCCGTGAAGAGGCCGCCTGAGCGCCCGAGAGCCCCACCCTCGCTCCCGGAAGCAGCGGAACGCGGTCAGGATTGCTCTGAGCTGAAGGCACGCACGATAAATAATCACTGTTTTAAGACTCCCATGTCGAGTCCCTAATGGCATTATGAGGGCACGGGGATTAAGCCCAGGAAGATAATTACCAGAATATCAGACTCCAAACCATAATCACATCTATTAAAAATGACACGCAAGGAAAATCTCCAGAATTACAGTGTGAGGGGGCTGTCGCCCAGGAGAGCCCGTCTGCAGAGATAAACGTACACACACAGCCGGGCCCCTCCCTCCCCGCAGCCAGGTAAGCCTCTCAGGGAGGGGGAGTTTGCCCCAGGAGCAGACGGCAGACAGCATCTGAGTCAGGCACTCCCATCCCTGCTGTGGGTTCAGGGCCACGGCTTTTCAGAGGCAGGAGTGTCCTCATCCTCCAGCACCGTGGCTCCCAGGAAGGTGGGGGTGCCCAGCGCCAGGCAGGTGGCACTGCCCTGCCCTGCCCCATTGAAAGTCCTCTGTGGGCACTGGGGGCAGCCTCCTCCACACCTTGTCAGGGAGCTGCCATCAGGAGGAAAGAGCACTGGCCCTGGCAGGTCAGCTGGGCCCTGGATACATCTGCAAACCCCCCATGAGGGGCCACAGCCCTGGAGGGGAAGCAGCACCTTGTGCGGAGGCGCAGGAGGGGCGGAGGAGCTGGTGGGGAACAAGGTTCTCGAAGCCCCAGCCACAGCATTCCTTACGATGTCCTGACCACTGGGCCTGGAGGGCTGGAGCACAGAGGGTCCCCAGTGGCCACAAGGGAGGGCCACCCTCCGTGGGGAGCTGGGCCTTCCTGGGAGGCGTCAGCCCAGCCCTCCTGCTTCTGAGTGGGAAAGGAGGTGAGGGGTAAACCCAACCCTCCAACACTGCTGATCTGTGAGGGCGAAACTGCAGAGAGAAGCCCCGAGGTCAGCGGCCCAGGGATGCGGGGCCAGGTGCAGCTGGAGTCCCGAGGGTCTGAGGCACCGAGGAGCAGGCCTGGCACTCACTAGCTTCCACAGCCCTGCTGCCCACCTGCCCGCCCACCGCCCTTGGTGTGGAGCTTACGGGTGCCTGGCCAGTGGGTGAGGAGCAGGGTGGGCTGCAGCCCTGGCTTGCATCAAATCCCAAGTGGACACTCCCGGCTGGCCAGGCGGGGCTGCCCTGTTTCCCACCGTCGTGGGCTGAATATTCATGCCCAGCCAGGGCCGTGGCTGACTTGTCAGAAAGCCAGAGCCTCCTGGGAGCACTCAGGGCCCTTGCCTGTCAAGGGGTCCTCGACATCGGCCACCAGAGGGGAAGATGGGCATTGCCCAGCGCCACCCACCTCCCATTGTACAGGTGAGAAAGCCAGGCCCCGGGCCACCTCCTGACCTGACAAAGGGAGAAAGGAAGGAGCAAGGAAGGAAGAATGGGAGGGAGGGAAGGAGGACGGGAGGGGTGGAGGATGCTGGGAGTTCTGTTAACAGAGCCCCGACATGGATCCCCCTTCTTGGTCCCCAAGGCTCTGATCAGGGATAATGGCTTGGAAATGAGCTGGTCCAGCATGGAGACTGCTGCCTTATGTGTCCCCAGCCAGCCACAGGGAGATACCAAGTCCTTTTAGGTCCAAAGCACAGCTCACTGCCGGGAGGTCAGAGGAGGCCGAGGGGTCTCTTGCTTGTCGCAGGCACGGCCATCCTGGGGAAAGACCACCACCAGCCTGACTTCCCAAGGAGGGATCTGTGGCGTTTCCACCCGTGAACAAACAGAAGAGCTTCCGCCATGCACGTGCGGGTGTAACTGACCTCATCCTCACAGCACCTGGAAGTCCCGAGTGTGCATCTCTGCTCTGGGAGCTCAGCCCTCCCTCCCCAGGGCATCCCCTTCACTGCTTATCAGGAGCATGAGGCACTGCAGGCACCAAGGCTAGGTGGCCAGGGTGTGGGGTGGGCAGGGCCTCGGCATCTGTGCCCACCCCTCTCTCTCTGGACAATGTGGACAGGAGGCGGGGGCGAGGCCATCTCCTCTGCCTCCCTGGGTGTCCGCACTATCCTCACGGTGCCCCCGCCTCTGTCTGCATCTCCACCCTGCAGCCCCTCCCTGAGCCTCTGGACCTGGGCAACCTCACCTCCACCACCCTCCCAGCCCTGAGTGGAGGCTGCTTCTTGCATTCACCCTCCAAGACCCAGGCAGCCGTTCTGGGGTTGGACTCCCTCTGTGAAAGCACCCAGGGTGGTTCTAGTCCCTGGCTGGATGTTGGCTGATACTCATCCTGGGAACAGTCCCCAGAACCAGCCATCGCAGCGGGAATTCCGGGACGGTGGACGCTGCTGTTACCCTGAAAACAGCGCTGTGCTTTCTACCAAGGAAAACCGGACACTGGCTGTCGGAGCCGTGCAGGGACATCACAGTCAACAGGACTGTCACTGTGTGGATCGTGATTGAGTTTCCTTTGAAGTAAGTTCCTTGGGGACCCCGTGGGGGCTGCACTTGACCGGGACTGTATTTTGCAATGGCAGCTGCAGAGAACAGGGCCGGCCGACTTCCGCTGCCCCGAGAACTCGCAGGGAGGCGTGACTCGCTCCAGCTACAGTCAAAGCAGAGACCTACGGTGGTGGCCCTGAAATAATCTCATTTCTTTTAGCCTCAGGGATGACTTCACCGAAAACGAACCCTGCATGTAATTGAGCCGACGACGAAGCGCAAAGCGGAGGCCCCTCACGTGTCAAGGCTCTTCGCGGGACGTCGGGCGTCCTTCCGGAAGGGCCAGGGCCTTGGACCTTGGGGCGGGGACACAGGAATGAAAGTCTTCACCTCCTGTGCCTCTCCGCGGCTCGCTTGCCAGGGGAGAGTCCACTGCCCGGGTCTGGGAACCCAGGCTTCGCTCCGGGACACCCCGAAGCAGCCTGGTCCGGGCGCTTGCTCTGCCGCCTGGAGGGCCTCCTGCCCTTCTTGAGATCCAGACGCACCACCTGCTTCCTCGGCGCCCATGAGGAGTCAGCGTGTGCTCTAGAGTCAGAGGTGTCTAGCCCAGGAGAAGGTAACTTGGAGGCCAAAAGCCATGTTAGGCTTTGCTGCAAACATCTTGGGCAAATCATTTGAGGGGTGATGTTTGGGGTCTCGTACCAGGGATCAGATGCGAGGCTGATCTGGGCTAAGTCCCTGCTAAGGGTTCACCTTCCAGAGACAGTGGACTTGCTGTGTCAGCTGAAGGAGCCGGGGTGCTCGCCAGGTCTGGCTGGTCAGTGACAGACTCCGACTCACAGTGACTATCAGTCACGTTTATTGTGACGCCAGAACGTCCCTGACCCAACAGAGAAGAGGCCACCGGAGGTTCAGGGAGGAGCCAATGGGCTCATTTACCGTGGGCTTCTCACTCCGCACTGCCCCCAGGAGAGGGCCCGACTCCGCACTGCTCCCAGGAGAGGGCCCGACCCCCCGCTGCCCCCAGGACAGGGCCCGACCCCCCGCTGCCCCCAGGAGAGGGCCCAGACACGCTTTTCCCTGGGCTCAGAGGGTGAATCTGTCCGTGACAGAGGCCTGGCCTCTCACAAGCTCCACTGAGGCTGTCTGTGCTCCAGAGGCTGAGACGAGGCAGGGAGAGGCCTCGCTCGGATTCGTTTCCTGGGGATGCCAAGACAAATCACCACAGACCAGGGGGCATAAAACAACACATGTTTACTCTCTCACACTCACGAAAGCATGAAGTCCCAAGTTAGCCTCACTGGGTGGAAATGAGGGCGCTCCCTCTGGAGGCTCCAGTACGGAATCCTTCCCAGCCTCTCCCGGCTTCCAGGGGCCACCGACGTTCCTGGGTTTGTAGCTGCCTCGCTCCGGTCTCCAAGACTGGCATCTTCCAATCCCCACCCCGTCCCACATGGCCGTCTCCGCAGGGTGTGGTCACGTCTCCTCTGCGACTCTCTGATGAGGACACTTGTGATGGAATTTAGGGCCCTCCAGGGTCGTCCGGATATCCCCCCATCTCAGGATCCTGCACCTTATATCACCCCTGCATGGACCTCGCGGTACCAGGCAACTCGCAGGGCTCCAGGGCTTAGGAGGGGTATCTCGGCGAGGGGCGAGGTGGAGGCATTTGCAGCTGACCGCACTCCCTGGGGTGGGCCCCTGGGTCTAGTGAGAATGACAGGTTGGGGAGTGGCAGTGGCCGGGTGGGGTTTCACTGCTGCTGGCCAGTCCAGGACACGAGCTGTCAGCTGTCTTGGGCGGTGAGGACAGAATGATCATTGGGAGGTTTAGCTCGGCATGTGCTTTCATCATGGCTGATTGATCAGGATCTCTGGGATCAATCAGATGGAAGGCCTAGTGAAGTGGAGCTCGACCTGCAGGGCAGGTGTCCTCCGTGTCTACCCACCAGAAGCTTCACTGTGGCGTCCCCATGAGGAGTCCCAGCCGCTTGCTCAGCTTCGGCACCAGCCAGGCCGCTCTCCCCAGGGTCCTGGAGCCTTCAGGAAGGTCCCCTACACACTCACAAGGAGGAACTTGGACGCTTCCCCTGCACTGGCCCCAACCAGGTCTGCAGCAGGCTGTGCTCCACAGCAGGGACCCAGCCGGGCTGTCTGGGAGCAGGCTCTGTGCCGATCTGCTTCCTGGGGACCCTGAGCCCCGTGCAGCCTGCAGTCCAGAGGAAAGTGACACCTGTGGTCACGTCCACTTCCATGTGAGCTCCATGGCCTGAGTCACGTCCACAGTCCCGGAATGCATGATTGGACTGGACACAGTTGGCCATTGGGAGAATCCCCACGTTGGCCCCAAACCCACAGAATGACGCCTGTTGGGGTGGGGAGAGACAGCAGACACCCCTGGGGCTTCTCTCTACCCAGGAGAGGAAAGCCAGCACCCTGTGGTGAGGCTGAGGCTGGGCCTGGAGCGGCAGGTGCAGGGATTCCTGGCACCATGGCCTGTGCGGGAGGCAGATGGATCTCAGAAAGTAACCCTGGATGAGGGTTGCACAATCTCAACACTTAAGACTTTGGGGACAGGTGACCCTTTGTAGTGGGGCTGACTTGGTCTTCACAAGGTGTTGGCAGCTTCCCTGGCCCTCCCCTACTGGAAGCCTGTGACATCCCCCGAATGTAACAACCACAAATGTCTCTGGGCACTGCCCAATGTCCACCCACCCCCACCCCAACTGAGAACCACTGCTGGGGGTTAATCATGACTTCACCCAGGGGACCCAGCTGCTGACACTTTTCCAACCATGGAATCTCCACTGAGGGAGCGGGTGCCCCGGGAGAAGACACAGGACTGGCCACTGGAAACGTGGCTTCCTGCGATCCCGGAGCATGAGCTTCCACCTGGCACAGGTGACGGTTCATCTTCACAGCCCTGCCCAGGGCCCACTTCACCCTCCTGATCACCCCTCTACAGGGATCTTGCTCACCGGGAGGTCCTGGGGCCACCGCTCTGGTCTCCCTGCTGATGACATCACATCAGTTGTTCCTGATGGTCAGACAGCAGCAAGCATCTTGCTTGACTTCGTAGAATACACACGCGTCGGAGACCAGGCAATAAGTCCTTGAAATGTAGGACCCAGCATGTGGCTGAGGGTCCTGCCGCCCTGGCCTGACGTTACCGTGCTATCTGCTGCCTGAGCCTGGAAAGAGAAACAGCATCTGGGGGCCTCCTCGGATCTCAGACCCTGAGATGCTTTGCTGGCCTCTGCAATGTCAGAGGTCTTCATGGCAGATAGGGCTACTGTGTGGAACCTCAGAAAAGCTACAGAGGGAAGAATGAGGTATAGACGCCCAGGGCCAAGAACAGAGCTCTCCCCCGAGGCCCCGTGCTGTCTTTCTGAGAAAAGCCCAGACCCAATGGCTGACCATAAGACATCCAACCTTGAGGGCTCCTCGTCGGCCAGGCACTGTCTGAGCCAGGAGGCCGCAAGGATGAGCCTAGTGCCAGCAACCCATGGTCCCGAGGGACGGCCCATGAGGGCTGAGGGAGGCAGAAGCAAGAGGAGTGGCGAGGCGGCTGGCACTGCCCCACACCCCCCTTCATGCACACCTCCTCATCATCCCACACAGTGGCGAGGCGGCTGGCACTGCCCCACACCCCCCTCACGTACGCCTCCTCCTCATCCCACACAATACAGCTTCGCCCACCTTGGACCGAAGACGAAAACTCGGGCTTGGTTCACAGCTGGTCCTGACTGTTTTCTGTTGACGGAAGTTGGCTGTGGCAGAATCGCGGCTCTAACCCAGAATCCTGAGAAGGCAGCGGGAGGGAAGCGATGGAGGAGGCGAAGCTCCCGGCCACGGTCTGTTGTCTACCTTGTCCCGATGGAGAAACAGGCAGAGGTGGAGATATCCTGAGAAGGCAGCGGGAGGAAAGCGATGGAGGAGGCGAAGCTCCCGGCCACGGTCTGTTGTCCACGTTGTCCCGATGGAGAAACAGGCAGAGGTGGAGATACACATCTCCCAGCTCAGGAGACCTGTTGATGGCCCCGGCACGAGTGGGGCCTGGAAAGAGGGGGATTGGAGGACGGTAGACAGGGAGGCTGAGGGCAGGGTGTGCGGATGGCCCTTTGGGAGGGCACGGGGTGGCAGACATGAGGGCACCGAGGCCGTCCGCTGCAGGGAATGCTGTCGGAATCCAGGCAGAGCCACACTCTGGGGAGGTCCCTTGTCCTCTCTCTGGGGCCTGCTACTCCATGCTTGCTCAGAGGTCCCACCCAAAGTGGCCAGGATGGCAGGGATGGGGTTTGTCATGGGTTGAGTTGTGACCCCAGAAAGATATGTTCATGCCCCAACTCCCAGTACCTGTGAACGGGACCTTATTTGGAAATAGGGTCTTTTTTTTTTTTTTTTGCAGTGGGGAATGGACTCTTGCTCTGTTGGCCAGGCTGGAGTGCAATGGTGCAATCTCAGCTCACTGCAATCTCTGCCTCCTGGGTTCAAGGGATTCTCCTGCCTCAGCCTCCTGAGTAGCTGGGATTACAGGCACCCACCACCACACCCCATTAATTTTTGTATTTTTAGTAGCGATGAGGTTTCACCTTGTTGGTCAGGCTGGTCTCAAACTCTTGACCTCCAATGATCCACACACTTCAGCCTCCCACAATGTTGGGATTACAGGTGTGAGCCATGGCACCCAGCCTGGAAATACAGTCTTTGCAGATCTAATCAAGTTAAGCTGAGGCCCTTGGGGTGGTTTCTAAGCCAGTGTGACTGGGAAAATGCTGCGTGGAGACAGACACGTGGGCAGAGTGTCCCGTGATGACAGAGGCTGAGGTCGGGTGAGGCAGCCACAGGCCAAGGAAGCCGATAAGGAGCCACCGGGGACAGGGAGGGTCTTTAGAGGGAGAAGGCCCTGCCCATACCTTGATTTTGCACTTCTGGCTTCCAGACCAGAGACATTCCTGCAGTCAGTTCTAAGCCACCTGGTTTGTGGTGCTTTGTGGTGGCAGCCCATACTCTAGAGACCACAAACAGCTCAGCAACATGGTCTGTCCTGGACAAGGTGAGCCGGGCGACCAGCACAGTCGTGGGACCCGCATACCGCACGTGCCCAAGCAGAAACCACCACTGGGGCCCCTGGTGGCAGCTTTTCCTGGGACTTTGTGCCACTCACAGGTACCTGGTGGATGACCTTGGGCCCCTGAAGTCATGGGGGCACCGTGCAGGGGGCTTCAGGGAGTCCTCTCTGGGCTAGACTTGCCTCCCTGCTCCAATGGCTCCACCCCGCACACCTGCCTCTTGCCTCTCTTGCCATCGAGGCACTCAGCTCTGTACTGTTTCCGGCCATGGAAGTCAACTCACAGAGCTTCTCAGCAATGGCCGGCAGGTGCCCTTGCAAATCTTTGGTCCATGGCATTCCCCACCCCCCTGCTGGCCTAGTGAAGACCTAGTTGTGGTGCCCATTGGACAAGCACTCCCTGAAAGGCTGAGCTTCTATCTTCAGGTGCAATTTATGTTTTAAACAAGCCATGGGGCCATTCTGCAGCCAACATACCCAGGTCCCAACATACCCATGTCCCAACATACCCAGGTCCCAACATACCCAGGTTCCAACATTGGTTGGATGCAGAAGGAGCTCCTTTCGCTCACACCTGCAGACCCACTCCTGGAACACTGATTTCCTGTCCCTGGGACGTTGGACTCTGCTGGTTTAGATGTCTTGGTCCTTGGCAGAATGCTTCCCCTGGTGACACAACAGCAGGTCCGCAGAGGTGGAAGTCAGTGTGGGCACTGAGCTGCTGGACTCTGTGTGCTCCAAATCCACAGGTAAGCCACAAGCTCCTGTGCCAGCCAAGGTGACAAAGCCCCTGCTGAGGGGGACCCTGGGATGCTGCCGTAGAGAACGAGCAGCAACCCAGGGCATCTCCGGGCGCCTCTGGGTACTGCCATATGGAATTGTGAGAATTAGTAGGCTGCAGCCACCAAAACAGAGAAGTAAAGGAACGAGCAGGGCCACTGAGGACTCAGCCCCTTTGGTGACAGTAACTCAGTTTCCCTCACCAGGGAGCACACCTTGACCAGATGAGAGGCTGAGAGAGGGCAAACGAAACAGAGAATGTGGGTAAAAGAAATATGGTCCCATAAATATGCACTGCAGCACATGACCAGCTGCAGAAACCGAGACCACATAGAAACATGCATGTGCGTACTTACACAGGTGTGTGTACGTGTGCGCACACGTGTAATGTGTGTACCTGTGTGCATGAGTGCATGTGTGTGCATGTGTCTGCATGTGTGCATGTGTAATGTGTACATGTGTGCATGTATGTGTGTGCATTGTAATGTGTGCATGTGTAATGTGAGTGCATGTGCACATGTGTGTGCATGTGTAATGTGTGTAGGTGTGTGCATGTTTGTACATCTGTGTGCATGTGTATTGTGTACATGTGTGTTCGTGTAGCATATGTGCATATGTGTGTACATGTGCACATAAGTGCATGTGTGTTTGCATGTGGTGTGTGTACATGTGTGTGCATGTGTAATGTGTGTATGTGCATGCATGTACGTGTGTGCGTGTGTGCATGTGTGTGCATGTGTAATGTGTGTGAGTGCATGTGTGCATGTGTAATGTGTGTAGGTGTGTGCATGATTGTATGTCTGTGTGCATGTGTATTGTGTACATGTGTGTTCATGTAGGTGCATGTGTGCATATGTGTGTACATGTGCACATGAGTGTGTGTTTGCATGTGGTGTGTGTGTAATGTGTATGCATGTGTAATCTGTGTGTGCATGCATGTACGTGTGTGCATGTGTGTGTGTGTGTGCATGTGTAATGTGTGTACGTGTGTGCATGTATGTGTGTATGTGTGTGCATGTATGTGTGTGTGCCAATTCCCTTCTTCCTCCCCTTCTCTCTCCCATTATTGTTTCATAAATGGACGGTTAGCAGTGGTCAGCTTAACAATGTATTGTATGTGCTACAGAACAGCCAGATGATCTCACACTGACCTGAAAGAGCAGCTTACCCTACCCGAGACGTATTCCACACCTGTGACCAGGCAGTGGCTCTCATGGCTGTGGGGCCTCTCCTCCTTTTACAGGAGGGTGGCGTGTGTTTCTTTTCACAACAGGCCAACCAGGCTTGTCCAGCAGCAGCATCCCCAGGCCGCCGCTGTCACTGTCTGGAAACTGCCACGCGTGTAACCAGCATGCACTGATGCAGGCTCCCTGAAGGGTGACTGTGCCCAGCATTTTGCTGGGGCCCCTCAGCTCCCAGCCTGCCTGGCCACACTTCGAGATGTGGGCAAGGACCCAACAGACTCTTTCTCCCTTGCCCACTGGCTTCCTGTCAGGTTCTGCCCATGGGCCCCTGACCAGCTGGGAAGCGAGCGCTGAGGAGGACTTGGCCTGGCCACCCCTGCCAGCTCTTCACCAAGCGGTGGTGCTCAGTCCTGGTGGTGGCAGCTGGTTCTGGCCTCCAGCCTCTCTGGGGACCCCATTGAGCTGGTCCCACTGTGCCCTCTCTAGCAGCACCCCAGCTCTGAAGGGGGACCCCTGTGCTGTGGGGCTCTCCTCTGAGTGTCTGGAACCTATGGCCCCAGCCTGCTCCCAGCTTCCCTCACTCACCAGCCCTGGGCTACCCTCAGGTGTTCTTGTGCCCTGCAGACGGCCACAGCTCCTGAACCCGACGCCTTCATCAGGTCCCTCTGTGGAAACACTCAGTGTGACCAGGGCTCCTGCTGGACCCTGGCCAGGTCAGAGTTCTGGGGACTCGACAGGCTGCACAGACAGCAGCTCTGTGGGGCACCGACAGGCCACGGCAAGTGCCTCCCAGAAGCAGCCAGATTTTCCCAGACATTGCCGTCAGGAGCCAAAATGATGCCTGCCGAGGCAGAACTGTCCATCACTAAGCAGGATGCAGCCGTGACCCCGTGCCAGCCACAGCCCCAGCCCCTCGCCCCCGACACGTCAGCTCCCTCAGCCTATGGAGGACTCATGTGGGCTGAACGGTGTCCCACAAAATTCATAAGGTTGCAGTTCTCAGCCCAGGACCTCGGAGGGTGACCTGACTTGGGAATAAACATTCATTTGACAGAACAATGGAGGTGAGGGGCCCACTGGAGTGAGGGGACCCTCGTCCACCATGAGGGGTGTCCTCACACAAAGGGAGGGTGTGGACACAGACACACAGGCAGAGAGGCGCCCCGTGAAGCTGGAGCCAGAGCCTGGGCAGCGCTCCCGGGAGCGCAGGAGCAGCGAGGAGTGTGCCACACAGCCGCGGGTGGCACAGGCCTGGGTGGATTTGCCCTCTGAGCCTCTGGAAGGAACCAGCCCTGCTCTTGCCTTGATCTCAGACCTCCAGCCTCCAGAGCCGTGAGGGAATAAACATCCGTGGTTCAAGCCCCCGCGCCCGTGGTACTCGGTGGCGGTGGCCCCAGGACGTCCTCACTGCAGCCGTGCCAGGCTGAGCACAGCCCAGGAAGGCCAGCAGCACCACCACACTCTGTGGTTTTCAGTCTGTCTGCAAGTCACCAGCTGTGGCTCCAACATTCATCGCTATATGTACCCTCACAGCTGGTGCACAGGCGCCCCAGGAAGGAAGTCAGGGTGCGGAGGCAGCTGCTGGAGGACAGAGAAGGAAGATTCGCCACCCCGGCTGACCAAGATTAGATCCTGGGAGCCAGCATCTCAAGGCAGCCGGCACACGTGTAAAGGAAGCAGCCCTGTGAGGACAGCGCCCACGTCACTCACCCAGCACTCACTCGGACGAGACGCCCTCCGGAGGGTGGCACACTCAAGTTGGGGCCCTCCCTAGCAGGCAAAGCAGCAGAGACACCTCCAGCCAAGCCAGGACCTTTGACCTGGGGAGGCCTGGGCCCCCTCTAGAAAGAAGGTCCCTTCCACAGAGGCCGCATCTCCTGAAAACAACCCTGGCTGGGGCCCCGGGGTCCTGAGATGTAGCGATCTGTCCTGTTGCTACCTGGGTCCTCTGAGCAAGTTTTGAACCTCCTGACACCTGAAAGGGACAGACAGTGGCAAACCCATGGGTTGTACTACTGATAAGGGTGTCTTTGAGAAGAGAGAAGTTGTCCCTGTGTGGCACTGGGTATGAGCCAAGGCCCAGGCAAGCTCAGGGTGGAGCAGCTGCTGGGGCTGGATTCACAGGCCCTGCCAGGGCCAGGCTAGCCTGGGACCAAGAGGCCACCACCCCATGGCTGGGAACCACCCCTTCCCATGGCCAGCACAGGGCCGAGACCCAGGGCATGGCGGGGCTGGAGTCTCCTGCTGGGCCGCAAACCACCGAGAGCTAGGGGAGCAGCACGAAGGGGTCCTCGCTGCCCAGGGTGGGAAAGCCAGAGTTGGGCAGGTCCCGGCCACCCAGCCCAGGCCTTGCCACAGTGACTTTATCATGGAGCCTCCTTGCAACAGGGCCGGCCTGGGTCAGGGGAGGGGTCTTTGGGTGGTGGACAGTGTGGAGAGAGAGCCATCAAGGTCAGGCTGGCACCCAGGCCACGCCAGACCAGAAGAGTGAACGACCGCTGAGCCCATGAGGTCCCCAGGCGCGTGGAGGTGCACGTGTGTACATGCAGGTGCATCATGTGTAAACGTGTGCACATGTGCATGCAGGTGTGTGCATGTGTGTGCACATGTGTGTCATGTATATTGTGTGGGCATGCATGTGTGGGTTTGTGCTTGTGTGTCCATGGGTCATGTCCGTGCATCTGTGTGTGGGTGTACCTGTGCACGTGTGTGGATGTGGCACGTGTATGTATGTGTGCACGCCTGCTGGGGTGTGTGGTATGTATGTTTTGTATGTATCTGTGCATGTGTGTATATCTGCATGTGTACACTGCCAAGTGCCGTGTGTGTCACATGTCACGTGCATGCCTATGTAGGTACTTGTCTGTGTGTCTGTGAGCTGCAACTCTCAGATGAGAAAGGAGAGGTTCTCCTGCTCTCTCCTGCATGAAACTGGCCCCTCAACCACTGCCCCATAGAAGATTGCTCTCCCAAGGACAGGCCTGGGGTTTCCTGACAGGGTGGGGACCCTAACCCTCCAGTCCTGAGGCAAACCACACTATCTCCAGGAGTCCAGGCCCTGGAGCAGGGTGGAGTGGAGTGGAGTGCGTGGGGTGGGGTGGAGTGTGCAGGGTGGGATGGAGTGGGTGGCGTGGGGTGGGGTTGGCTGTGTCCTCTCCCCTCTCCTCTGCCCCTCGGCCCGGGGAGATGTTCAAGACCGCTGGCTGGAGCCCCCTGTGCCCCCAACACTTCCCCCAGAGACCTGCTGATGGCCAGGGCCTACACACCCAGGCGGAGCAGATGACACCCCACAGATGAGAACTGATAAGGGCCAGGCAGCAAAGCTGCTGGACAGGGAGGCTATCGCTCTGCACAGGCACTTCCTGAGTGACCACGGGCAAGGCCAGCCCCTCCCTCTGTGCCTCAGTTTCCCCTCTTTAACAGAAGCATGGGCTGGACTGTTCCCGCCCTTCCAGAGTGAAGATCCATGTCTCATGTGTGTCCCTGTGGCCAAAATTCATCAGAGACCGTTAGGGCAGAGGGGCAGTTCCCCAGCGAGGGGACTCTGCGGGCGGGACCCCTGCAGCCCTTGTGTGGGCAGATGCGGATGTGGACATGTCCACCTCCGGCCAAGCCCCCATTCCTTGAGCCTGGGGTCTGCATGGGACAGGGCCCTGCTGCCCGCCTGCCCCGAGGGGTCCCCTCCCCACCCGCTCCTGGAGCGGTGCCGTCTCTCCACTTTCTTGGGCTGCAGCTCTCGGCCTAATTATCCATAACCTTCTGTTCGAAGACCGCTGTCCTTGCCTGATAAAAACCAGTAACTTTGAAAGCAAACTGGGTCTTAATTTTCCTTGACAGCCCTGCTTGAAGCATGCGGGCCGAGCTGGGGTTTAATTAAATGCACATTCGTATTCCAAACAAATTAAGTACAATTAAGGACTCTGAGTTATGGGTATCTATCACTCCGTGATGTTTTTGTAAAAATTACCCCATCAAGATCAAAGTCGGAGGATCCCTGCCTTAATTGCTTCATTAGGGCGCCGTGCACCAGGCTTCGCGAGCACCGGCCCTGGTGTCTCTCTGGGAATTACTCAAACGACGGCCCTCACAATAATTGCTTCCATATTTCTCTCCCGGAGACGTTCTGGGCTCCATGGATCAAATGCAATGGCTTCAGGAACCCACCTCGGCTCAGGTCCCCGCGGCAACGGCCGAGGCGTTTTTACGGCGCCTGCTCTGAGGCCCCATGAGCCAGCTGGT